CACACACACACACACACACACACACACACACACACACACACACACACGCACACACGGACAAACACATCGGTGAAAGTCCGACGAAACAGTCAGGCACAGTCATGATTTTTTTTGGTGGCGTATAGTGAACATGATAACACATACACACACACACAAAAAACAAAAAACCCTGCACGCGCATGTCTACAAAGGGGCAGTCGAACAAAAAACAAAAAAAAAGCAGGCGGCACCGTGGGGGTCTGCTACGTGCTACGTGCTACGAACCTCCTCAAATAGCACCGACACGCGGCAGCGCGGCGTGTGCTGCTGTGAGAGAGATAGAGAAGGAGAGAGAGAGAGAGAGAGAGAGAGAGAGAGAGAGAGAGAGAGAGAGAGAGAGAGAGAGAGAGAGAAATGACAGCGCGACGCGCTGCGTTGTCACGTGTCTTATTTTTGTTTGGCTTAACTGTTTCTTTGGCTGTTCTTGTCCTTTTTGTTCTTTTTGTTGTTTTCCTTCGTTATGCTTATCCTGTCATCCAATCGCTTGCAGAACCCGCAACGTGTTTCTTTACCCCAATAATTGCGCAGACCACCGGACTTTGCCGTCGTTTCCATCGCCCTCCGGCACTTTGTCCTCCCTCGCCCAGTACTCTACCTATTTGCCCTGCCCCTTACGTTTGCCCCTGATAGGAGACTACCCATCCTCTCTGCGGCCGCGCTTATCGTTGGCCTCGAGCTGTCCACCTCCTCGACGCAGTCCCGCGCCAGCAAGAGTGCACCCGCCACCATTCTTTTCATTGCAGCATCGTTCCTGACCTGCTCCCTTAGACACGTGTCGAGAATCTGGATCGGTATGTCGTCAACATACAGATGACGTCCCAGCGATGGTGTCACCCATTGCACGAGTGTCCGCCATCCTATCTCTGGCGGCGGCGCCGGCGTGAGCACCTTCCTCCCTGTCAGCAGCTCGAGCAGGAGAACCCCAAAAGCATACACGTCGTTCTTGACGGTCAGCTTCCCTCTGACGAGGTACTCCGGTGCCATGTAGCCTTGGGTGCCCGCCACGTGGCTCGTCCATGCAATAGCGTCGGCTTGCGTATGGAAGAGGCTCTCACAGATCCTTGCCAGTCCAAAATCGGCGACGACAGCGCGTAGGTTCGCCCCCGATCCATCTTCCAGAAGAACGTTGCTGCTCTTGATATCCCTGTGAATGATCGGGGGATCCACATCCGTGTGGAGATAGCGGAGACCCTTGGCGATCTGAAAGGCTATACACATGCGCTCCACTAACGTAAGAGGAGGGCCAACAGGACCTGCACGGGATGCTCTGCCACGAGTGCCATCTGTGTTGTGCAAGCGCGCGCACAGACTTCCTCCCCGAAAGAACGGGTATACAAGTATACACGAATTCCCTTCCTGGCAGTAACCTATCAGGTCGATGAGATTGGAGTGATGGAGCCTGCTCAAGGTGGTCACTTCGGCCACGAATTGCTTCTGCTTCTCCGCCGTGATGTCCCCCCTCATCACCTTGACGGCCACCTCCCTGCCCCCAATATCACCCCAGTAGACATCGCCAAAAGCACCGTTGTCTCCTATCCGATAATCGGCGCTGAAATTACCAGTGACGAACGCCAAGGTTTCCAGCGGGTACGCCGTCACATTGAACGGCAGCAAGTCCTCCATAGTACCCTCATGCGCGATTGATGCTCCCCTGCCGCTTCCGACGAGGGAGGACGTGGATGAATCGCGAGCGGTAGGTCCGCACCGTTCTAGCGCGCCTTCCTGCCGCTTTCGACCTTCCCGCCTCTGGTAGTAGAAGACAGCAACCATGATGCCTGCCAAGATGGCAGAGACCGCCACAATGGCCACGGGCAGATAGACAGCTAGGGTTAGGTTGCGGTGCCTTTTGGCATGCTGAGCGGAACCCGGGGAATCAGCGGCGGGCGGCTGAGAAGACGATGAGATGGTGGGAGGAGGAGGATTAGGCGGTGGCGGTCGGGAGAGTGGCAGGCATGTGTGCAGGGCGGACCTGTTGATCTCCAGCTCGAATAGGCGTCCGTCATTCGTTCCAACGTACAGGCGAAGCTGATTGTCGTCTTCATGGATCGCCAAACCCCAGAAACCTCTTTCCCTATATCTCGCCACTATATGCACCCTTTGCGCTTCGCCGCACTGTGCTTTTAACTGCATCCATCGCAACTGACCGCCAATGTCGGCGACGAAAGCATTGCAGCCGTCCCTGGTCACTGCAATCTCTCTCAAATTGCCCCTGTTTCTCTCCTCCAAACCAATTAGGTTCGGGTCAGCGGCGAGAGTTATGTTCCTCGCAAGCAGATCGACGGTCCAGACATTGCCCTCCCGCTGATCACCGATGTACAGGCAGCTTCCATCCGAGGTAAATCCTTGCGGACGGACCATCAACCTGGACAGGTTCAACCCCGTTACGCGAGGGAAGGTGGCTTCTGGCTTGAACAAGTCGTCATCTGCAGTGCTGGCACTAGTGCGCAACAGACTGGCAGCCTCCGCAGACATCACACGCGGTGGATCCAAGAGATCCACAAGGTAGGCGTTGGTCTTCGTCGGATCGAGCCCCATACCAGCAGTGACCAGTCCGGGCAACGGAAGCGAACGCCTGCTGCCATTCACTGCGGAGAGCAACGTCACCATCGCCCTTTCGTCCGCAAGCGTGGCGTTGGAGGCGAGTTTCTGAACTCCGAGTACCAAAGTCGTTCCTTGATACCACAAGTCCATGCCATTCACATACGCCATCGCCTCCATCCCCGAGTCCTGTTTGAACACGGTCGCCGAGGAGAGTACCATTCCATCCGGATCGTTAAACACCCACCAGTAACTAATAAGCGAGTCGTTCTGAAAAGCTCCCCACCCTCCTGCTCCTGGCATCCGCGCAGCTCTTCGTACGGAGACCAGCCAATGTGACGGTATGCGCGACATGTTGAAGAAGCACCGCTGGTCGCGAACGTAATACAAGACAGAACCATTGAGCGCAAGCACAAGGTTCTCCAGAATGTCGCGGCACTCGAGTAACGAGCTCGTGTTCGTAGTGGGAAACACCGGACTCGGTGTCAACGTGAGCACCTTCGTCCTTTTCACTATCAGGTCAGCATTCAGGACGGTCGGCAGTATGCCATCGGTAGCTTCGAGGAACCTGGAGTTGAAAGTCGTTTGCTCGTCGAGCGAAAGCGAATCAATCTGCAGAGCGTGGGAGACCCTACTTCCATGCCAAGAAGGACGCACGCTGTTGGCAGACCGGTTGCCAGCACTTTGACAACTGTCCTGCTGGTGCCAATTACTCACAGCCCCCCGGCCGTAAGCCGCATTTACGCCGTAACGGAGCACAATCGCGATGGCGCAAATCGTCACCACAAGCGCCATCATCATCAACACTGATGCTCGGCCCGGTACGCGCGAGGGGCAGTCGCCATAGCCGCGAGGCCCTGTCTCCTCGTATTGGCTATGTCGGAACTCCATAGTCGGAGACTACGGTAGCCACAGTGGAAAAGTTTCAGCTGACAATGCAAAACTTCCCCTTCAGCTGTGAATTAGCACGCCGGATCTCAAACAATGAGTCCAACTCAGTTGGTACACCCAATGAACTGCCTGAAATACAGGCCCAAGTTCGAATCTAGATCGATCAGAATAACAGAATGAAATAGTTGTAAAAGATAACTGCTCAAGGTGGACTTCAGTGGTTCCCAAACGCGGTTTTGAAGCTGGCCGGGCCCAGGTAAATCCACACGAACTCCGGTCTGTATTTCAAGTGGTCAAGCGTAACCACTGAGTGATAGGGGATAATTGGTAGAAAGAGCCCACGCCAGAACCTCTCCGGTTTTGGGCACCCAAAACTCAGCCGTTTGGTAATACCGGCCAAATGACTCCCATGTGCCGTACTACAGGCCCACGCGTCGCTCCAAGGGCCCTACCGGATTATGAATCTGGCTCATAAAAGCTCCAGATTCATTTTGATGTAAAAGAGGCCAGGGGTGGGACCATTGAAGTATAGGATGAGGCCTGCTTACAGTGCGTAGGGTATTTTGAAAAAGAAGGGCTCTACCAGTTCATGAATCTGGCACAAAAACAGCGCCAAATTCTTGAACCTGCAAAAACAGGCCCAGCACGACGCGAAGGCGCCTTTCACCCAGTCAACCTTGCACTGCATACTTGGGCATGTGCACGTCTCCTTACCTCGAACCCTCGGTCTCTCGTTAGCAAATTCCTGCCGAGACAAGTTGTTCTCTAGGCTCCTTACTAGGACGGAGTTGGGATTTCCCTTTGACGATGGAGGCGGGATTTTTTCAGGTCGTCTGTCCCAGGGCTTGCTGGCTTCTCATTTTCGTTGTATCTTTCGTCAGAAGGTTTGCTAGAGGACTGTTCAGAAGTTGCTTTGTAGCCATGGCCGAGTAAGGGCTCCGGCATCTAAATTTTCTTTCCAAAAAAAAAAAACCTAACGGGGCAGCTTGGGGTGCTTTTGGGGACCTGCTTTGAAGCACGGGGCCAGGGGCATCAAATGATTTTTTACAAGGATGGAGAGGGGGAGGAAATAGGGCTGCTCGATGGGTACCGGCTACAGGGGCCTCTTATCAGATGCGATTGGCGTCAGGTAGTTTATGATGGCTGATGGGTACCTGCTGATGGGAATGAACTCTGGTGCGATTGGCGTCGGGTTGTGCTAGATCACCACCTGGATGACGGAGACTGATATTCTTAGGGGGTAAAGAATGTCAAGGTAATGATGGTGTCAGTCCCCTCGAAGAAGAGGCTCCCTGAAGTTCTTCATGAGGCAGGATTGTTCTGTGGGGCTTTTTTCAAAAAGAGGCTGAGTGGGATGAATAATTGGATGGGTATCAAGCGTCCTACTAGTGAGGGGGCTAGCTGGTAGGATGGAAATAGGGTACAGCAGCAGTGGAGATGGTGGCTCTGCTGCAGTAAGTCTTGCCGGAGTAAGGTAAAGAGGATGATGTGGGGGTTTCTGAGTTGGTTTCCGAACTTTGCCTATTCCTGTAGTGATTTTCTTAGTATATCAAATTCTTCTTCACAAAAAAAGGGTTAGTCGGGAAGTAGATGGCGGGGTATCACGCGTCCTACTAGTGACTTGGCTAGCTGGTAGGATGGGAATAGGGTATAGCAGCAGCAGAGATGGTGGCTCGGCTGCAGTAAGTCTTGCCGGAGTGAGGTAAAGTGGATGGATGGGGGGTTTTCTTAGTAGTTCTGAATTTTGTTCATATTCTGAATTTCTGAAGATTGGCGTTAAGTAGCTCCAATTTTTTCTGAGCCAAAGCCGAGTAATGGCCCCGATATCTCAATTTTTAAAATTGTATGTATATTTCCATATGGGACGCTGGGTCCGGTTCCCAGCACGTGTTGCTCCCCACGAATAGATTGGAGCCTTGATCCCATTAAAAAAAAAATAAAAAAATCCTGGGGGAAAAGTTATAAAACCTCCCCGCGGCCAGAACACCAGTTCAAAAAGACATGTGAGTTGAGAGAAAAATATGTGGCTCCCTAAATGGGACAAAAGGTGTCACGGCCCCCAAAATTACTTTTCCTATCGATTTTGCACCTTGGCTGGGCTGGTAAAGGCCGCTCGCAAAGATATCGGGAAAGTGTTTTACTGATACCACGCTCGGGCGTGGGGGCGCAGCCAGGTCGGGGGCGGACCGGCGACTACAGTCTTCCCTCGAATACAACGCACGGTCATTATAGCTGAATTTAGACTGAAAGATAGACCAAGTTCAGCGATAATGACCGTGCGTTATATTCGGGGGAAGACTGTAGCCTACGAGAACCCCAAAACACGGCCGCATTCAGGCATTGAGGGAACCCATCGCCACTACTGGACCTTGTCCCCTACCCAACAACGGAATAAAAAATGGACAATTTGTGAGACAGCCCTATAAGTTGAGCTATATGCCAAAATGCACCTAAAAGATCTCAGTAGACCGGAACACTTCGCTGACATAACCTGTCATCTTTGCAAAATACCCCAATCGAAAGTTTCCTCAGCGCCCGAATCTAGACGCTTTTGTGGAGATGTGCAGAAATTCGCAACCCCCCTAAGCGCAGCCATAACATAACTCACCATCACCAAAAACTCAACTCAACAATGTCAGCCAGTCTTCACGCCCCCGCCGGCAAGCCATGTCTGTCTCCGGGTCGCCGGCGCGATTTCGAAACCTCCCTCCTACCGCCCTCTCTCGCCCGCACGGAATCTCGTTGTCCGCTCTCCAAAGACCCTGGCACTCACGCGCTGCCACGGATATGCCCTACCTGGTCGCACGCACGGTTCGCAAGACCGACGGGAAGAGACTACGAATCTGGGTGCGTATGCGGACAAGTACACAGAGCCGATAAGAATCCAGCCCATACTTAAGTCCTGTACCGGATGTTTTTTTTTTTGAACCAACGTTTCTTTTTGGGGCCAACCCCC